TATCATTGTATACATTTCATTATTTAATTAATTAATTAGAAATGCTTGTTGATTATTAAATTTCAAATGTAAAGGATTTAATTGAAATAATATTATGAAAATCCTGGTAAAGTCTTACTCTTTAACTATAATTAATTTAATTCACATTAATTTGTGTTCTTAAACTTAAGATAACACTCCTAACACAATGAAGCTGCTGATATTAATCACCTAGGATGATTTCTGTTATGTACACTTTAAAGGGTTAGTTCACCCAAATATTAATAGCACATATGTTAAAGGTATTTCAAATCTCAAAGAGCAGTATTGTGCATGATAAATCATGAAGGACTATATGTGTGTGCTTTTACACTTGCATGTGTGTTTTAGGTTGATGAGCTGCTCTATGGACAGTCTGAAGTTTGTTACTACATGGAGAGGTCAGATTACTGAAGCCAAACTACAAGTGAAGGTACAAGCATTTGTTCCTTATGAAGAGACTGTGTGTTTAGCACGATAGAGCTAATCTTTGCCAGTGCATTTTAACTTTATTTATTTATTTGTTTATTTATTTATTTGTTTGTTTGTTTGTTTGTTTGTTTATGTGTTTGTTTATTTATTTATTTATTTATTTATTTATTTATTTATGTGTTTGTTTGGTTATTTATGTGTTTATTTATTTATTTATGTTTTTGTTTATTTATTTATGTGTTTATTTATTTATTTTTCTATTTGTTTATTTATTTATGTATTTATTTATATATGTATTTATTTATGTGTTTATGTATTTATGTGTTTGTTTATTTATTTATTTATGTGTTTATTTATTTATGTTTTTGTTTATTTATGTGTTTATTTATGTATGTATGTATGTATTTATTTATTTATTTATGTGTTTATTTATTTGTTTGTTTATTTCTTTATTTATTTAAATAAGCTTTATTTGCATGATATATCAAGTGTTGCCAAAGCATTGCACATTATATAAACAATGAATAATGTAGTGATTACAAAATGCATATATTTATTCATAAAAACAATCAGAAATTAAATAAATGCTTGCACAAATAAGAAAATAACTAATATAATGTTTAAGAAGGTAATGAAAAAAAGAGAAAATAACATGAAAAATAAATAAACACAAATTTAGATGAAATGTAATGTTTCTGACTAGTTCTCTTTTGCACTAAATATTGCACAATATTGTTTCTGTTTTACATGATGTGCTTGTATAGTCTGACTAAAGGTTATGTGTATAGCTAACTGCTGTATTTATAGTCTAAAAGTTGCTTATACGTCAGATGTTGTGCTTGTATGTATGATTATGTTTATATATGTTCTGCAAGACAGCGTTTCATTCTGTTTAGAAGATTGACAGTAAACCTCAGCATGAACTTTTACTAGTTTTCACCCTCTGGCTGACTCTCTGCTTATGATGGACTGATAAATACGCCCCAGTGTCCTTGCCAAATTTTCTCCATCAGCCCTTACCCATCATGGCCTCCCTATCATCCCCATCCACAGAATTGGCTCTGTCACTGTCTCTCCACTCCACCTATAGCTGGTGTGTGGTGAGCGCACTGGCACCGTTGCCCATGGCTGCCGTCGCATCATCTAAGTGGATGCTGCACACTGGTGGTGGTGTGGAGAGACCCTCTTCATGATAGTGAAGCGCTTTGGATGTATGACCATACACAATAAATGCACTATATAAATACACATTATCTATAGTTTTATATGTAGTCTCTCTCTCTCTCTCTTTCTAGGTTGGTGGTTTGCAATTGGAGGGTTGTAGTTTCGATGGAAATCGTCTATCTGAGAGCCATCACGACTCTCCCAGTGTGTCCTCCGTTCCTCCATGTCACATGGCTTGGATCCCGCAGGTAACACATACAGTTTGTCTCTAAATATCCTGTGAAGTGCTCTGAAATGTGCAGTTTTGCTTGATATGTGATGCAATTTAAACTGAAACATAAAGTGAGAGGGCGGGACAGAGTAGCTCCTCCTCTTTTTTTGATTACAGCCAATAGGGTAAAGCCATAGACAGCATTATTAACCTGAGAGAAAAACAATTGAAGTCTATGTAACATCCTCACTAAAACAGGAAAACAAACATGTGTGTGTGTGTGTGTGCGTGTGTGTGTGTGTGTGTGTGTGCGTGTGTGTGTGTGTGTGTGTGTGTTTCAGAGTGAGTGCTATGGGCTGTTATTCTCCAGACGAGTGTATCTCTCTGCCGGTGTACAGCAGTGCTGAACGTGTGTGTGTGGTGACAAACGTACAGCTGCCGTGTGCTGGAGATCATGACACGTGGATCCAGAGCGGAGCGGCTCTCTTCCTCAAACAGCAGTAACACAAACACACACACTTTATACTGACATTAGCATCACTTTAGATTGTTTTGAGTGTCTTGGTCTTCATATGACGGTGTTTTTGCTGCATTCCAGCGGCTGTGAGACTGTAGTTTTATTCAGTCTTATATTCTGCAGATATTTATATGATCAAATAAACGAGTTTTCCTGGAGATCCCTCTCTTTCTCTGCTTTCAACACCACTGCATGTTTTGCATGAGTAAAACTGTACGTGCGTATGTCAGCCGAAACGTAGCATAGCTGTGAACAATGAGAAATTATGCAGCGTGAATGTGTGTGTTTATTTATTTATACTTTCTCTTGTTCACAGTGGTGTTCCGGCTGTTATTTGACATTACTTTGACAAAACAGTTCTTTCAAAAGTCTTTATTAATAATAAACTATAACTAATGTTTTGGGGTGGCATGGTGGCTCAGTGGTTAGCACTGTGGCTTTGCATGTTCTCCCCGTGTGGGTTTCCTCCGAGTGCTTCAGTTTCCCCCACACATGCGTCCAAACACATGCGCTATAGGGGAATTGGGTTAGCAATTGGGTTAGTGTGTGTGCGTGTGTGTGTGTGTGTGTGTGTGTGTGTGTGTACGTGTTTTTGTGACATATCAGGACACAAATCTGTATAATGACATTGGTTTGACACAGGTATTACAAAAAGGAGGTGAAATAAGAGGACTTTGGTGACGTCCTCGTTTCTCAAAATGCTTATAAATCCTACAGAATGAGTTTAATCAGAGAGTAAAGCTGCACACAGTCTCCTGTGATGGTTGCGTTTAGGGGTGGGGTGGGGTGAGGGCAATACAATATACGGTTTGGACTATATAAAATGAATGGAAACCTATGTAATGTCCCTACTTTTTACAAAAACAAACGTGTGTGTGTGAGAGAGAGAATGAGTGTGTATGGGTGTTTCCCAGAACTGGGTTGCGGCTGGAAGGGCTGTGTAAAACAAATGCTGGATTAGTCAGCGGGCTGTGGTGATCTCTGATAGATTAGAGACTAAGCTGAAGGAAAATGAATAAATGTGTATTGCGAGTTCTGTATCCTAGCATTTAAAGCACAGATCCTGACCCCCAGTCTCTTTAAAACAGTCTGGTAAAACATTAGACACATTTGCTGAATTGCGATGTGTATTTACAGCAGCTCAGAGATCAGTGAGAGCTTCAGCTCATGCTTTATACAGTAGAAGTCAGAATTATTCAGATATTATTAATATATTATTTTTTTCTTCTTTTTTGAATATTTTCTAAATGATGTTTAACAGAGCAAGGAAATGTTCACAGTATGTCTGATAATATTTTTTCTTCTGGAGAAAGTCTTACTTGTTTTATTTCGGCTAGAATAAAAGCAGTTTTTAATTTTTTAAACACCATATTAGGGACAAAATTATCAGCCCCTTTAAGCTATATTTTTTTCTCAATAATCTACAGAACGAACCATCATTATACAATAACTTGCCTAATTACCCTAACCTGCCTAATTAACCTAATTACCCTAGTTAAGCCTTTAAATGTCACTTTAAGCTGTATAGAAGTGTCTTGAAGAATATCTAGTCAAATATTATTTACTGTCATCATGACAAAGATAAAATAAATCAGTTATTAGAGATGAGTTATTAAAACTATTATGATTAGAAATGTGCTGAAAAAAAATCTCTCCGTTAAACAGAAATTGAGGAAAAAATAAACAAGTACTCTAATAATTCAGGGGGGCTAATAAGTCAGACTTCAACTGTATGAAGCAGCACAGAGTGAGCAGTACATTAGTGTTGGTCTGAAGGTCAGCAGGTTTCAGCGGTGACCTTTGACCACTGCTTGTGTTATATGGACTTGGCAGGTGTGACTTGCGACCTCAAAGTGTGTGTGTGTGTGTGTGTGTGTGTGTGTGTGTGTGTGTGTGTGTGTGTGAGATCAGGATGCAGATGCTGTAAATGCTGTTTCTCTTCTGATCCGCCTTTTCCTTTCCAAAGGAACAGAAACATCCTCGTTCACTGCTGAACCTCTGCTTTAGGAACAGATAATATACAGTACACGTTTTATATAGTTTTATTAATATTTTTAAAAGTATGTTAAGTGTAAAGTATAAGCACAAAAATGAGTTTATTTAATTATTTGTAGTTTTTTTTATATATATATAAATATGTTGTATTTTAGATTTTTTTTAACTTCTATTTAATTATTATAATTTTATTATAATAAATTATAATAATTATATTATAATTGTATTATAATTATATTATTTTTATTTATTATTTTATTATAATTTATTTATAATTTATTTAATTATTATAATTTGGGGTGGTGGCTCAGTGGTTAGCACTTTCGCCTCACAGCAGGAACCTCCCTGGTTTCAGTCCTGGCTGGTTCAGTTGGCGTTTCTGTGGGGAGTTTGCATGTTCTCCCCGTGTTGGTGTGGGTTTCCTCCGGTTTCCCCCACAGTCCTAACAGCTCTGGAAGGACAGCCGCTGCATAAAACATATGCTGGATAAGTTGGCGGTTCATTCCACTGTGGTGACCGCTGATGAATCAAGGGACTAAGCCGAAGAAAACTAAATGAATGAATATCACTGTGGCAAAAATGATTGAGGTCATCAAAGTATTGCATGATAAGTCGATGTGTTGATTATTGTGACAGGCCTAGTACCATGGCATTGCTGTGGTGTTGTTCTATTGTCTGTTGTGTGTGTGTCTAGTCTCTGTGACGTCACACTCACTCATTTAGACTGACATTATCCTGTTTGCGTGTGTCTTTTCTTGAGGGCTTCTGAGATCTGATTAGTTGCCCTTTTGCTGGAGGCTTTTCACAAACACACACTCCACCACACTTCTGGAGCTGCTTGACTTTTCAGAAGGAGAGGCTTTTTATCCGCACATCAAAGGTCAGAGTGTGTGTGTCTGTGTGTGTGAATGCAGAATTCTGGTGTTTATGTGCAATTTCAAATCTTAACTGCAGCATAAATCAAAATGCTGACCTTTAATCCCACACACACACACACACACACACACACACACACACACACGCACACACACTGTCCTTCTGTAACTGGACAGCAGTAAAATAATCAAATAACATCCTAAAAATACCATAGTGCAATGTTGATACTCCATTATAATACTAAAGTACAAAAGGACAGTGGCTGTTTCCTTAATAGTGCATTGTAATTGTGTATTATGAACAGTAATTTGAAGTCTGAAGCTCCGCCCTCTACATTATCATAATTAATATTCATTAAACATGTCACCTTATCATTATGTATGTAAAGTTCACTTCTAAGACTCAGTTTTGTGGTGAATGTAAAAAGATGTTTAAAGGGCCAAGTGCCCCCCCCTCCACCTCTCCGTCTCAGCAGGGTGTTTTCACACCTCTAGATTTGAAAAAGGTCAGGAAAGTGGGCGTGTGTAGCGCTGTTAAGGTGGAATTGTCGAGTGGCCAAAGAGGGAATTGTTTGCATGAAAAGGGGAGTTTAAGTACATGCACGTGCTGATTTTCCAACGGCAACACAAACACAGACGCAGTGAAGACAGCGACTGATAATGTTTACATGGACATCTGTAATGGAATTATTTGCTTTAATCTGAAAGGACAATAATATGATGAAGGTGTTTACATGAGTTGCTTCCTAAATGTTCCTTTATGATCCTATTTTAGATGTTTATAGCATATAATTCGATTAACGTCATCGCGTCACCACGATATCCACTTTTCCTCTGAGTTTCATGTAATTTCTGATGTTTCATTTTTTGTTTGTCGACTTTAACTGCAGTTTGGCACTTTCACTTTCATTCAGGAACATTTCATGCATGCCCCCACATGACAAGCAAGATATTGGATGCGAAGGACTGCTGGAAGAGTGTTGTTTTAATGGAATTTGATACCTCTTGCCGAATGTGGGGGGGGGGGACTTTAAATTTCTCAATGCAGATGTCTGTGGTCGTTCACTGACTCAGTAGGTGCAGAGAATAGTGTCAAACAACCGTGTATAGCCTGTCCTGTCACAAAATGCAAAATAAATAAATCCTATGTGGTGAAAATCCTACACGGCGGTGATAGTTTGATTGCGGTGTTTACGTTTACACTCAGAGAGCAGCATGTACAGCGGATCTTTCAGTCCATAATATTGTAGTGATATTAACGTACTGTAAACTCTGCGAATAAATCATTTTGACTAAGGTATGCTGACGATTCTAACTAACTTTGCCTCTGAACAAACATAAGCAAAGAACACTGATCGCTCGCACACCAAATCTGTAGAGACAGGACAATCAACACCAACTGTAACCGTGTCTTTTTTTTTAAACGAGACGAGCGGCAAATCCGGATTTCACCATTTCCAGATGCGAAAAGCTCTCAGGTAAAAATCTTCCTCACAAATGTCTTTCTGTCCCGTGTTAGCAGACCACTGTAATCCACACGTGAGTCCCGCTGCGCTCTCATAGCGGGGAAACGGAAACAAAACCTTCATTGCAGCACATTTATAAACCCAACACTGACGACCCGTGTCTCGAACAATTCTCCTTCTACTACTTATTTGAATTACGGTTGGCAACACAACGTAGCGTCTCTGAGCGCTGTAATGAAGTTGCATCTCGTTCATGCTAATTGGTTTGAACCAACTCTTTTTCATGAATTAATAAACAGATTTGCTGAAAACTTGTCACTTTGTACTAGCCTGTACAAACATCAAATCTCTATGCTGGATTTTACACAGTAACCTCATGGCCTTGACGTTGCTTTAAACTTTCTTTTGAAACCGGAAGATCGAATTTGCTCGAAATAACGCGAAAACAACCAATGTTCACTTGTTAGCTACAAATATGTGTCCTAATAGTGTTTTTTAGCAAACGTTGAACATATATATATGACTGTCAACTTCTTAAAAAATGTATTTTGGTGTTATGCGACCCTTTAATATTACAAAAAAAAAATGCTATGGTAAATGTAAAAGCATGGTATCATCATGGTTAATGGAGGATTCTTTAGATTCATCTTCAATTGCTCCTCCTTCATCTTACCCCAGACATGCTCAATAATGTTCAAATCTGGTGACTGGACTGGCCAATCCTGGAGCAGCTTGACCTTCTTTGCTTTCAGGAGCTTTGATGTGGAGGCTGAAGTATGAGGAGCGCTATCCTGCTGGAGAATTGTCCCTCTCCTGTGGTTT